GGAGCAGGAGGAGGAGGAGGAGGAGGAGGAGGAGGAGGAGAGGAAGAAATTAATCACCTAATGAAGTTCTTTCCTTGAGCCACCCAAAAGGCCATTCAGGCCATGGAGTAATAAATAAAATAAAGTATCTCAGACAGGTGGTTCACCACCGTCCTTCACTTCCACAGTCAATCTACTCTTATTATTGTGTCATTTTTTTTCCGGACGTTCCTAGAACTTGGATCCATATATTCCATATTCTAGCATGAACCTTCAAGACAGCTATTATTATTTCCCCTCCCGACGTCCCCTCCCCCATGTCTTCCCAACCCAACTCCACATTAGACTCATGGCCACGCTCAACCTGTCATCGACTTCTGAAGAGCCCATCACTTTTCCTCCCCTATATCACTTGTCTCATCGCTTATAACCAAGGGTGGGACTGCTACCGGCTCTCCCCGGTTTGGGTGAAGCAGATCCAAACCAGTAGCTAATTTTATGGCCGGTTTGGAGAACCGGCAAATCTGACTCCTGGTTGGCTCTGCCCATCCTACCCTGTCCCTCCCAGGAATTCCCACGAGGCCCATTTTGGATGCCAGATAAGTGCAGGACCCACGCGGAGGTTCAAGGAGGGTGAAAAATAGGCCACCTGGAAATTCCAGAAAGCTGGAAATGGGCCCATTTCTGGGCTCCAGAATCTCAGGGAGGCCGTTTTCATCCTGCCAGAGATTCATGGAAAGCGTACAGAGCGTGAGGAGAGTGAAAATGCCCCCTCCCTGCCATGGTGCAGGAGGCCGACTAGGCCACGCCCACCATGGCCACGCCCACCCAGCAACCAGGCAGAGAACCGGTTGCTTAAATTTTTGACGCCCACCCCTGCTTATAACATCACCAAACCTGGCCACTTTAAGACTTAATGGACTTCCACTCCCAGAATTCCACAAGTCTTAAAGTGACCAGGTTTGAAAATCCCAGGTGATCGCTCACTTCCTCTTCTTCATTGGCAACACCTCTTCCAAGAAAGCGTGGTGAGCAACCTTGAAGACCAGTCAACCTTGCAAACCAGAAGGTCTACAAGGTCAGGGGCAAAACTCCAGGTTCCTCAGAATTCATTTTGTATTGTGTTCCTAATAGTAGCTGTTAGGAATGTAAGTCACCTAACAGGTATTTGGGTTAGAAATATATAAACCAGAATAAACATTTTAGTACTATGTCTTTAAGAAAATGCTAAATTGTAGTTGGGTGTGTTTTCTCAAACAGCCATAAGATGGAGCCAGAAACCTGGATTGTTTTAGTCTTAGTCTCAGAAGAGAGTGTGTCTGAGTGAGTATCTCTGTTTCCTTCTGTTGGAAAGTATTGCCGTTGCTCCATTTCTTCTAATTGACTGATATTACTGGGTTTAATGTAAGTCTGATACTGAGCTGTTTTTTGACACTGGACTTTGTTATTGGATTATCCCTGGATTGAAAACTGACTGATTTACCTGTGAATGACTTTTGGACTGCTTATTTTGGACTTTGCTTAAACCTTTCTGGAAGTAAAACCCTACATTTACTGTACAGTGTATCTGTGTACTGTGTGTGTGTTATTCAAACACTTCTCTCAAATACGTCTCCCTGTATGCGCTCATTCTCCTAATGGGGAATTACCTCAACAGTAGCCTCAAAACGTAGCTGCTCAGCCCTTAGACACGTAGATAGATGGGAACTCAACCCTCCCATCAGATTCCCATTTATCCTCTTCATGATGGATTCTGCTGGCCATCAGGGCGATCTCGCCTGATTGGACAGGCACCAAATGTTGAGTGAGACAGATGGTTGGGTCCACCAGTTTCCTAGCTGTCCTGAGTGTTTAGTCTTTATCTTGTTGTTGTCATTCAGGTAGACTTCCAAGATCTTCTTAGAAGACCTTCTTAGTCATCTTCTTAGAGGACCGTGGCCCATCCTACCTGGAGCCATTGCCCTAAGAGTCCTTAGCAAGGGGTTCCACCCCTCTGGATGTCAACCCCATAAAGCACCAGGGAAGGTGGGCCTTGCTGCTTTCAGGCCAATGTCATCTTGAGATCAGTAGGGTAGTTGCACTCACCCTGTCTCCTGTTGGAGCACTGAGAAGCCACAGGACGCTGATGATGTTAGCCGTTGTGTTGATTTCTGGAATGGTCTCCTTATAGCTCTTCAGACTCGCCTGGCCCTTGGTTTTGGGAGGAGGCTTCCTCATGGCGGAAGGGAAATTCGGCATCCAGGCGCCGAAATCAAACTGCAATTCAACATTCCAAGAATTAACCCCCTGTCGGACCTGCCACAACTTCACTCTCTAAATCAAGGATGTCAAACTCAAGGCCTGCAGGCTGGATTCGGCCCTCCAGGGGGGTTTAGATCTGGCCTGTGGGCCGACTCTGGAAACAGTGAAGGACTGGCCCGCGGTGCCTCTGCCAGCGAAGATGGAGCTCGGGAGGGCCATGTGTGGCAATTCCAGGCTCCGTTTTTGGCCACGGTGGTCCCCTGCAGTCCTCTGCCAGTATCTCCCCCTTCCACCAGCTCCGTTTTATCGGGCAGAGGGCTAGCAAAACATATTAAAAGCAAAGCAAAAGGAGAAATGTTTCTCCTTTTGCGTTTGAGCATGGAAGAAGGGACAGGAAAGGAGAAAGAGGAAAGAGGAAAGAAACAGATGGGAAGAGAGCGAGGAAGGAAAGAGAAGGAAAGAGGGGAAGGGAGAAGAAAGGAGAAAGAAGGAAAGAAGGAAGGGAGGGAGGATCTGAGGGAAATCCTGCCTTGGCAAAACATCACTCATGCCAGCTCAACGTCATTCATGTTGGGGGCACCTCTGGTGGTTGAATTGCCCCCAACACGAGTGATGTTGAGCTGACCACACCCACCCCAGCCACGCCCACTCCACTGCCCCGAGATCAAACACAACCTTAATGTGGCCCTCGATGGACCCGAGTTTGACAGCCCTGCTCTAAATAAAAATGATGCTTGGCTCCAATGGTTGAGAAAGGTATAGTTTGATTAGAGGCCAAGTGTATTGCACTAAGTAGTGAAAAGCCAGAACTGAATATTACGTGCCCAAATCCCTAAGTTTTACTCACCCACCACTTAACTGTCTCTCACTGCCCACACCTCAGTGTCACCAATCCGTGTCAGGCCTGCCTCCGTTCAAAACTCAAGAAAGAAAAACCCTCAACTCCGTTGATTTAGGGAAGATTGGTATGCGACCCCTTTTTTCTTCCCGCTGTGTGACCTTGAGGCAGCATCTCAGGGAGATACAGTTGCTTACTTTAGCTTCCCCAAGCATTCGCCACTTTCTCTCTCCTTCCAAAGTTCACGGCAGCCTGTCACTGCAGAGCAGCAAAGTACAAGCAAGCATAAGGTGGCAGCTAACAACCCCACCAAAGGGGCCCTACTAGGTTACACCCCACATCCTAGTCCTCACACTAATGCCTTTCTACTACATGAGTCTGGTTTCTCATCACCTTCTTGTGTTGTTGTATTTTTTCCCAGGCAGGAAACTCAACTAGGTGCACCAATTCTACATTACCTTAACCAAATCTTGTATCTGTAACTTAACCGCAGGGATTCGCTTATCAACAGTGGCAAGAAAGGTCTTTAAATGGGGCAAATCTCACTGTCTCACTTAGCATGGAAATGCTGGTGGCTCAGTTGTAGTGGTCCTCGACGTACAGCCATCCTTGGGCCCAACATTTCCACCGCTAAGCGAGACAGTGGCGCGGTGAGCTTTGATCCTTTTTTACGACCTTTTTTTGCCTACGTTCATAAGGGAATCGCTGCGGTTGTTAAATGAGTCACCTGGTTGTTAAGTGAAGCTGATTCCCCCCGTCGACTTTGCTCATCAAACGATCGCAAAAGGGGATCACGTAACCCAGGGGCACTGCAACCGTCATAAATAGGAGTCAGCTGTCAAGCATCTGGATATGGATCGTGGGACAGCGGGAAATGTTGCAGCGGTCATAAGTGTGAAAAATAGTCATGCATCAGATTTTTTTAGTGCTGTTGCAACTTTGAACGGTCACTAAATGAATTGTTATAAGTCAAAGATTACCTGTACAAATTTCCTATCTTCCCTCTATCCATTAAGCCAATTGGAGCTTCTGTCCCTAACCAAATATCAGAACTGGAAGGTCCGTAAGTTTCAAGATCAGCCAACGATGGTTCAGTGTTGCCCCCTAGTGGGGGCTATTGAGTATGGCCATATACATTGATGAGTCCTAACGTGTTTCCCCGAAAATAAGACCCTGTACTTTTTTTTTGCCACCAAAAAAGGCACCAGGTCTTATTTTGGGGGGAAGTCATCCACTGACTAATCTCATTTGTGCATGTCGCTCCTGGCCTCCTTTTCGCCGTCAGAGGCCTTCAAGGAGCTTCTTCTTCTGCGGCCAGCAAGGCTTTCCTGAAGATCTTTGCAACAGATAACAGAGGTCTGGATCGATCCAGAGCTTTGCTATCAGCTCCAGAGGCCTTCAGGAAAGCCTTTGCCAGCCTTGCTGGCTGCAGAAGAAATGGGCTGGCAAGACAGCTGTCGGGGTGTACAAGGCCTGGCTACACCTGTCCAAAAGTAAGTAGTAGGTAGCTCCACCCTTCCATCCCCACCTTAGCTTAATTTTTACCCGTGCAACCTGGAGTAGGTGAAACCTTAATTAGGGCTTATTTGAGGGGTAGGGCTTATATTGGGTGCACATGTAAAATCAAGATGGGACTTACTTTCAGGGTAGGGCATATTTTCGGCGGAACAAGTATTTAGGTGGGGGTGCACGAACTAAATGGCCTACAAGGTCCCTTCCAATTCTGTTTAAAAAGTATCAGTACCACTTCATAAAGGCTTAGTTAGGCCACACCTGGAATCCTGCATCCAGTTTTGGTCACCACGTCACAAAAAAAGATTCTCAGACTTTGGGAAAAAGTGTAAAGAAGAGCAACTAAGATGATTAGTTGGAAGCTAAAGGAGATTGGAAGCTAAAACATATGCAGAAATTGGGGATGTCTAGCCTCGTGAAAAGAGGACACATGATAGCAGCATGCAGCGAGATGATTTTGTGGACCACAAAACCCACGAAGTCCCTATTTAAGAACCGCTCTGAACTCAAACCATCTTGAAAGCATGAAAATGGTTTTGGGTCTAAATCAGCCGTCCCACACTCTGGATCTATAAACCAAGATTGTATAAACAGATTGAATAAACTTGGTTATATGATTATTGAGCCTGTCATCGGCACCTCTATAACTGTCTGGTTTGGTTCTGCAACCCAACAAGACAGACACAGACTCCGGAGAGTAATTAGGACTGCAGAAAAAACAATTACTTCCAACCTGCCTTCCACCGAGGACCTGTATACTGCACGAGTCAAAAAGAGGGCTGTGAAAATATCTACACACCCCTCACATCCTGGATACAAACTGTTTCAACTCTTACCCTCAAAACGACGCTATGAAGCACTGCACACCAGAACAACGAGACACAAGGAAAGTTTTTCCCCAAATGCCATCACTCTGCTAAACAACTAATTCCCTCAACACTGTCAACTTATTTACTAAGACTGTATTACTATCACTATTAATCTTCACATCACTCCTTATTACCCATCCCTTCCCGCTTGTATGACTGTAACTTTGTTGCTTGTATCCTTACAATTTATATTGACTGTTTCCTAGTACAATTTGATTGCTTATTGTACCTTATGACTATCATTAAGTGTTGTAGCTGATGATTCTTGACAAATGTACCTTTTCTTTTATGTACATTGAGAGTATATGTACCAAGACAAATTCCTTGTGTATCTAATCACACTTGGCCAATAAAGAACTCATTCATTCATTCATAAGCAGAGAATCAAAATCGTGTGAAGCGGTCATATCACTTTGTAAAGCCTTAGTAAAACCAGATTTGGAGTACTGCATCCAATTTTGGCCACCACATTACAAAAATATATATATATATGTTGGGACTTTGGAAAAAGTGCAGAGAAGGGCAACTAAGAGGGTTAAAAGCCCCGGAGACTAAAACATAGGAAGAACGGTTGAAAGATTTGGATTTGGCTAGTGTAGAGAAAATAAGAACTATTTGAGGAGTTGCTCCAAAGAAGACAGGGTCAATTTATTTTTCAAAGCACCAAAAGGCAAGACAAAGAGATAATGTAAGGAAACAAATCAAAGAGAAAAACCAACCAATAAGGATAAATTTCCCGACGGTGAGAACAATTCACCAATGGAACATCTTGCCACTAGAAATTGTGGCTCCCTGGAGGTTTTTAAGAAGAGACTGGACAACCACTTGTCTGAAATGATAGAAGGTCTCCTTCTTGAGCAAGGAGCTAGACTAGAAGACCTCCAAGGTCTCCTCTAGGTGTACCCTGATTGATTGTGTTCAGCTACTCGCTGATATATGTGCTCCTACCTGTCCAGCGTTCACAGCAGTATGCTGCGCTGAGCAGGTATAAATCACCATGGTGATGAATTTTTTCACTTCTTCCACGGTACTGAATGAAGAAGGGATACCTGAGAAGGAAAAGAAAAATACACATCGGTTATTAATAACAATTACCTCTAAGCAGTTGTGGGGTTCAGCCGGTTCGTAGCAAGTTCAAGAGAACCAGTTGTTAACTTGTTGAGCAGTTGGGTGGGCAGGTTTTTGGGAAAAAAATCATTAGGGCCGAGAAAACTGGTTGTTGAACAATTGGAGTCCCACCACTGTCCATAAAGTATATAAGGACAGCTAAAACCGAGGTGTTTACAAACGTGCAACTATTCAGAACTCATATTGCCACCAGTAAAACCTGGTCCTTACCAGAAGACGTGAGAGCCAGGAAACCTTTTTGAAAAATCTCGTAGATCCAGCTCTGCAGTTCATAATCTTTCTGGACGGAATCATCTGCCTTATAATATAAATCAACCATGTTGGAGACAAAGCTGAGAAGGAGAACCAAAGAGGAAACATGAATCTCTCCTGCTTGGTCAGAGGGTTGGACTGGATGACCTACAAGGTCCCTTTCCAACTCTACTAATCTGAATCTATCTCTCCTCCCTTCTTGGCTTACAGGAAAGGAATTAGGAAATGCCACCGGTGCAATAAGGCGGTGTGGTTTGTGAAGGGAAGGAACGAGAAGGGGAAGAGGAAGGGGAAAGAGGTGAACGGTGGGTCTTGGATGCTCTCTGAGCTGGGTTGTTTTCTTGCAAGACATTTCATGACCCAACTAGGGAACGTCATCAGTGCTAGAAGGGAGGGGGATTTGTGGAGTAGAGAAATGGAGGAAAAGGAGGAGAAGGAGGAGAAAGAGAAAGAGAAGGAAAAGAAGGGGACGGTATACTGTGTGGTCCTTAGTGCTCTCTGAGCCGGCTTGTTTTCTAGAAGATACTTTATGACCCAACTAGGGAACGTCATCAGTGCTAGAAGGGCATGTGGCTTGCGGAGAGGAAGAATGAGAAGGGGAGGAAGAGAAGGAGGAGAAGGAGTTGGTGGAGGAAAAGTTGTTTCACCTCCTCACCAGCAATCGACACTCAGATAATTAGAGTTTGATGCCAAGATTAATTCTAGACCGATCAAGCAGTAGACAATACCCCAAACTAAGAATTATAGACAATATCCCAAACAAGAAACTACCAACTCAAACTAATTAACACTGAACAACATCTTAACCAAGGAAATGCCCACTAAACTGACAGGACAAGCCATTGTATATAAACAAGAGGAAACCCCCTTCCCTTCTAGAACTGATGATGTTACCTAGTTGGGTTATGAAACATCTGCAAGAAAACCACCAAACTCAGAGAGCAAAAGATTCCGTAATCCTCCTCCTGCTATCCTCCCCCTCTTCTTCTTCCTCATCCTCTTCTCTTTCTCCTCTACTCTGCAAACCCAATCTCAACAGTAACCTTCAGACAACAAGATAAAGCTTCAATTCTCAGAGCTGCAAGACTCCTGAGTAATAGACTTAGAAAACCAGAAAATCATCCTGGACTGACCTCTCTATAGCTGCCCAGATCTTCAGACCATCATCTCTGTAGTGGTAGTTAGGCAAGGAAGACATTCCACGAGCCTTGATGTCTTCTGGGAGACAAAGGGAGGAATACATGATGGACGCCATTCCCTTCTGCAACAGCTGGACCAAACCCTCAAACCCAGTGCCAGTTGCCTAGAAGGAGAACAAGAAGAAGGAGCCCCAGTTGTCAGAGGGACATCCCATGGACATCCTCAAGACATCAAACCCAGTGCCAGTTGC